TGCCAGCGCAACAGCTTTAGCCTGCTGCGCATATTTCCAATGGCCAGAAACAACCAGCTTCCTTATAAGCGGAAAATCTCGGCTAGCTCCGCGAAGCAAAAATATGACGATTCCTCGTTTGGAATTATTGGCAATAAGATTAGCAGCAAGACTGGCTTTATCAATCCAAGCGGTCGTTCCCGACTTAGCGGAGGTATACATATCTAGTGACAGCCTTATAGCACTATCATGGATAGCCAATGGAAAATCGCTTCCATCTTATGTCACACATCAAGTAAAAGAGATTCACAAATCTATTGAGGCCATCAAAAGTCGTGGCCCAGGAGTGTCACTATACCACGTTGACACTTGCACTACCACATGTGCAGGTCAAATAGAAGAAGTTAAAATAGTAGGAATCCTACACTACCTAAGCAACGAGAAAGCAAGTGAATTCAAAAAATCAGACAAGATTAAAAAAAAGGGAATCGATCTGTACCCGTTGTGGTCAGTTTTAACCAACCGCTGGACATGGCTTATACCCAGCGTTATTCTGATAGCCTTCATCATAACCACAAGCTATATAACAGCAGCTCACATCCTCCACGGATTTATCAAAGGAGTACAATCCATATGCTTAAAGGTATTTGAAGCACTTGTATGGTCATACAAGCTTCTGAAAAAGCTCCTTAAAGAGCCAACTGGTCCGCAGATGGACCAGCAGGCACTCTGAGTCGTAAGACTCCGCCTACCAAAAACTGTATATAACTGTACAAATTTCTTAAATTTTACCCTTGTTCAAAATGAACGAGGAATTCAATCCAATCCTCGAGCCGACGTTCATGGAATCACATGAAACGACTCAAGCTCACGGCATTCCTAATACCCCTATAACTCTACCGTTCTTGATCACCCTAGAATCAAGATACTTTACTCGCCTTATTCAAATGGGAGACTTCATCGCTGAAAAATTCGCGGAATTGGACGCTAAACTCCAGACGTTAGCCCAAAGAGTGGAAAAAATTGAGATGGCTCTGCATAATCAATTCCTTCCCTCGGAACTGAACCAAAAGTTGGACCTACTCATCCAACAAACTATACCACCAATTCAATGCATTTTCTGCAACTCCCAGACCAAGGACGGCCACCGTACTAATAGCTGCCCTATATTCTCAACCGCTGTAGAAAGAATTCTACGTCTCCAGGCGCTGAACAAATGCGTCAAATGTTTATCCGAGAAACATGAAGACGAATGCGAGAGTGCCTGCTTCAGATGCAAGGCAACGGATCACCACGGAGCATTATGCAACATAATGCCTTCAATGGCGAAACGCAGGCGCCCATAATCGTAAGTCGTTAAAGTTTCTCTCTCTCTCTCTCTCTCTCTCTCTCTCTCTCTCTCTCTCTCTCTCTCTCCATTC